CCTGGCACTTACTTGTCCTACCGGCGCCTCATAGTTTTCCTTGATCAATCGCTTGGTCTGGCTAACGCGTGCCCGCAAAGTGCACGCTCACACACTCTGTAATTAACACAAATGGGACGCACCCCTAGATATCGTTAGGCGCGTTCTTCCTGTAAGCTGGAAATATGGGCCCAAATACCGTTGTAAGGGTGTTCGGGCCGACAACGCGTCCTCCATATGGGAGAACTATTATACCCATCGTACTCACTCTGGTGCGGCTAAACATGTTATTCGTTAAAATAAGAGATTTATTTTATATAGTGTCCTCTTTCTAACGAATTCATTTTTGGTTGCAGCCTAAGCAACGTAGGCATGTCCATCCTCTCCACCGGGATACTTTTTGGATGTTTGATGAGATCCGGACTTATTTGGAAGTGCAACTATAGGCACGCCCATCCACTCGCCCAAAACGCGGAAGTGTGCTGAGATCCATACTAGTTAAACTTTATAAATGAGATGAGCAACGTGTCATAATTGAATCCTTGTTGGATAGTATATTTCTTTAGGTTATCCCTAACTTGTGCACCCATGCCCGTCCTCTCGCCCGAGACGGTTGTTTGGATGTTTGATGAGATCTGAACTTCTTTAGAAGACTTAGTGTAAGGATAGGCACGCCCATCCACGCGCCCAATATGTAATAGTGTGTTGAGATCCATACTTGTTAAACTGTATAAATGTAATGAGCAAGGTGTCATGATTGAATCCTTGTTGGATAATATATTTCTTTAGGTTATCCCTAAGTTGTGCAGACATGCCCATCCTCTCGCCCGAGACGGTTGTTTGGATGTTTGATGAGGTACTGACTTCTTTAAAAGACTTTGTGTAATGATAGGCATGCCCATCCACTTGCCCGGTATGTGGAAGTGGGACGTGGTCAAAGCTCAGATCAGATCTCTGCATACACAAAAAGACATTAAACAAAGAATTCATGAATCCTATTCAAGCTGGCTTGGAGGGTCAAACGGAGGAAGAATAGGTAAGGTGAAATGGAAAGGGGAGCCACAGGACATCGGGGAGGGATAAGACGGAGCGGTAATAGAGAGAGACTACCGTCGGATATTCGACGAAAATACATACAACCATACCGTTGAAGCCCCCTGAAGAATTCCTCGGCCTTTCCCCCCCCCCTTTAATTTGCCTAGTAGGAATGCAGTGATATGGAATGGATGGATGAAAAGAGGTGTCTAGGATTAAAGGTTTTATCCGTTACTCCTCAGACAGGCATAGACTGGAAAACGTACAGGTCCTGGACCAACATTGGCAGCAACAACAACACCGTATTGTGCTTAGAAATACTATCGGTCACACAAAAGGTCAACAGAGATCAATATCCTACTCAGTCAATCCCCTAGTACTGGCACTTAAGTGCTTTATCAGGCGCCCTTCTTTTAGGGGTGAAGAGGTACAAATCTGGGTCGCAGGGTAATCAATGCTGGCAGGCCCCACAATTACTGTTCTCACTGTTCTCAACCATTCTCATTTTCTATATATGGGACGTTGGACCCGTTTCTGGCAGGTGATGCTCCCCACCAATAGATGGAGTGTTACATGCTGCGCCTGCAACAGGCTGCACGGGCCATTTTCATGCCCGTGTTGTTTTCAGCCTGAAAGCCTGAAAACAAGGGCCTACAGGCCCTGTGTCGTTTCAGCCTAAAACAGGGCCTTTCCGACCCCGAGTCTTTTCAGCCTGAAACGGAGGGCCATTTTCAGGCCGCCATAAGATCAACCTGCCCTGAAACTCAGGCACCAGACCAGGGTTTTAGCTCATGCCACTTTTGGCCTATTTTCAAGACAACCTTTGTTTGAGCTTCAACCCCAGGGTTTGGCACGTGTTGGCATCAGCAAGAGCAGCCTCCTGGACGGGCCAACACTATAAAAGACTGACCCGCCCTGCAGGCTGCAAGTAGTTCCTATGTAGTTCCCACGCACTTCACGTGCAGTTCAAGAGGCAGGAGTTAGTCTTCAGGATTCGGCAGCAACACTCTAAAGGAGCGTTGTAGGAGTAGTAGTAGCGCTAGCAATAGTCTTCAGCGTTGGGCGCTAGTACCATTAGCAGTAGTCTTCAGCGCTGGGCGCTCTTGGGAGCTAGAGTAGTACTAGAGAGAGAGAGATTGGGCGGAGGCCAGGGATACTTACCTGCAGCGCCACAACTCCAGCTTCGCCTTCAAGGTACCTGCAGCACAGCGCCATCTTCACAGGTTAGTACCTGGCACATGAGAGAGAGAGTTCTTTTTCTTCCTCTTCTCAGTCCACCATCTCCCTCTCACCCTCTCGCTACCTGACTTCACTGCATCAGCAGACTATGAGAGAGCGGGCTTGGTGACATTTGGATCCAGAGTCGACATTGGGCTTCAGACACTTGACGAGGGATTATCTTGGACTTGTAATGAGGACTTGGTGTTAATGACATTCCCATCTCCCCCCTTCTTCTTCGTCTGCTCCCCTCCTCTTCGTTTGTGTATGGACTGGACTTGACGCATTCTTTCTGTGTGTAGTGCCAGACCCATTCACACCTTGTGATGAGGATGATGCATGTTTAGTTTGCGTTGCGACATTGATTGGGTTGGTCAATGGTATTCTAGCATTCTGCTGCGCTGTCTTGCACTACGTGATAGAGGTCAGTCCTGGTCAGGTCAGCACTTGTATCTAAGTTTTCCCCTTCGCTATAAAGCACCATTTTTGTATGTATCATGATGTACACTGCTTGTTGAGATTTCACTTGCAGTGCATTGTCCATTCAGTCCTTTTCATCACATTGCGGATCCTCGGTTATATATGTACATCGCCCAACTGGCATGTAACAGTTGGTATCGGAACACTGCACGTGAATCAGGACAACCTGATCTGACACGTGTGCGGGGACTGAGTACGTGATTAGTCTTGATTGATTGATTAGAGCACACTAGTTAGCCCGCAATATCACAATTTTGACCTCATTGTGGACAATCGGAATTTTTTTCTTTTCTTGGATTTTGTTTTCCCGCTATTTCTGTTGTGGAAAATCCCAATAGCGCAACACCTGAAATTTTCGTTTTCCATTTTCTTCTGAAAATTCAAAATTTCGTTGTTGGAAATCCGGAATATCTTTTTTTCGAATTTTTTGTTTTCCTTTCGCAATGTCCAGTTATTTGGAAATCCAAAATATTTTTGTTCTGTTATTTCCGAAATGCGTTTTTCGAGATTTGAAAATCGTACGGGAAATCCCTCTTGCAGTTATCATTTTTCAAATTGCGCGTACTCTCATCTGAGTAATTCTGAATATTTTTATGTTATTTTAATTTCAAAATTATCTTATCAGATCATCATTTGCAGTCTGAAAGTTTGAAATTTTCCTCATTCGTAATTTCGCACTTCAATGGGAATTGGGAGGCCTACTGAACTTGCAAACGAGAATTTTTTTTATTTCCTTATTTGAAATTTTCCTCATTCGAAATTTTTGCAAAGTTCAAACTTTTCTTTTTTTGATTAGTGACTCCTTATCTGGGTGACTTATCCCACCCACCCCTCCCCACCTATGTTGTTTCCCCCTCTGGTCTTGCCTTCTCTATCGGTTTTCGGGTACCCCCTGCGGCGACATTTGTAAGTTGCCACGTCAGCAGGCCACGTCAACAAACCACCTCGGCAGGCCATGTAAGCAGACCACGTCAGCAGGCCACGTCGGTAGACCACGTCAACAGGCCACGTCAGCAGACCACGTCAACAGGCCACGTCAGCAGGACACATCAGCAGCAGGGAGTGCCATGTCAGCAGACCCCCGACCTGGTCTATGCTCACGCGCTTGCAAACAGCCATCATGGACCAAAAGTCCGGGGAAACGGACGAGGCTTATGAAGCCCGGATGCTGCTTGCGATTATCGAAGCCAACGGTCCGATGCAGTAGCAGCCGCAACAAAGAAGAGGGCAGAGGACGCCGGGAAGGCACGTGTGTTGGCAATCGAATATCAGCGCCAGCAAGACGGGGCAGCAGCAAAGGCTGCCAATGAAGAGCGAATTCAACGGCGCGAGAAGATATTCAACAGAGAGCGAGCTTTGCTCACAATGGCAGTGGACTGTGGGCCGAGGCCGAGAATGGTAGGATGAAAGATTGTGAAAACAAGATCTCTCTACTCCTCTCCCACTCACGGATCTCCTGGCAACATGCATTAACAGCAGGAGGATATCCACAACCTCGACGATGTGTTAGCTCAAGTCAGCAGCCGCCTCCAGCAGCTGGAGCAACGGCCCGTCGCCGCCCCCGATACCAGCTCCTCCAACACCTCCGATCGCCTCGAGGCATCGGAGATTGACGTCGGATCCCTCAAGGACGGCGTGCAATTACAGCAAACCGCAACGAAACACTTGGAGTAGCAGATCTGTACTGCCTCCACCCACTCGAGATCGGAATCGCTCGAGACAACTCCAAAGTTCGATGGGCGGGAGATCTTCTGCGACTCGACGAAGACGGACCCGATTCCATGGTTCTGCAAGTTCGAGCTCAAGTTGCAGCTCCACCACGTCAGCGAACACAAGCATCACACGTACTTATACTCCCGGTCGGGGGGCGCGTGCCAAGTATGGTTGGACAATCTCTTGTCCAAGTACGAAATGGTGGCTGCAGACTTGCACACCAAGATCAACTGGGATGGTCTAAAGGCAGCATGGCATAAGTCGTTCCAAGTAGAGCCGCTGGAGATCAAGATAATGGACAAGTTGATGACCTTCGAACAGGGCACGCTGTCGAGTGTTGATAGGATTGTCGAGTGCCAACGCTTGACATTCGTCCCATACATTCAAAAGGGCTTCAACGCCGTCAAACACTACTTCATCTCGAGGTCGTGTTCGGCGTTGGGCAACGCCTTGACTCACGTCAAGGACACCCTAACGACAACGGCAGAGCTCTTCGAGAGGGCCGCACAAATTATTGTCATGAACAAGGAGGCTAAGAACCTCCACTGTTCGTCTACGACAGACCCGAGCAGAGATCAGCATCGGCCGAAAGCGACCGTGGTCGTGGCGGCAACGCCAACCGACCAATCTAGCGAGGTCGTGTCCGCCAATGAAGGGGACAGACTCACAGCCACCCGGGATGTTGGCCTCCCCGACAAAGGCCGAGGACGAGGCAAGACGAAGACAAACACCGCATCTATCCCCGGGCCCGGCGCAGCAGCTCGCTCCAGCCCTATGGTCCCATTACGGTTTTGTCGAACAAGCGTACAGGGCACACACGAGATTCTGCTATTGTCTATGGTGCAACAACTATCTCCATGAGACAGTGGGCTGCCCGTCGAAAGACAAAGGCAAATCGGGAAACTAAGCAGCAATGAGAGTGAGTCGACGACACTCTCGACGCTTCGGAACCGGTCGCTTCGCAGGTGACCGTCCTTCATTCCGAGGCACACGCGGAAGTCGATAGTCCTCCTCTTCTATATTCTTACGAGGACTATGCTGCCCGGCTCGTTCCTACGCTGGGTACTCATGCTCAAGGACAAGATGTGTGTGCGACATCTTTCGGTCCAACAACGGTTACTTATCGTCTTCAAGTAGTTCTTTATGGGATTCGGCGCGCGAGTTCAACATAGAGGTATTGGACCCGCTCACGTCCGAGGATTTCACATGGCTTCATCTCCCGACCACGGGCCGTTTGTCGGGACCGCAATGCGCAGCATTATGCTCTCATCTTCACACGTACTTATCCTTCAATGCACCACCAACTTCGCCAATGGATGACGAAGTCGCGGTGGGGGACATCCTTGCGTATGTTACCAAGGTGGTGCGCGAGTCTCGCAAGCAGCAGTACGATGAAAACAACGCACCGCTCCTCTATGTCCGCATTCAAGTTGGGCAAGTGTCCTGCAGCGCTTTGCTGGATAGCGGCGCGTCTCGCAATTTCATGAGCCAAGCCTTTATGCAAAGGGCTGACCTTGGCGCACAAGTTCGAAGGAAGGCAAACCTGACGACGATCAAGTTGGCGGACGGAAGGACGCAGCAACTTATCGACCGCTACATCGAGGTCGTACCTGTGTATTTCGCACCTCCTGCATGCGAACCGGTGACGGTCGACATCTTGGACACGGACTTCGACGTTATTTTGGGAATGCTTTGGCTTGCAAGTGCGGATCACGCAGTCAACTTCCACCGGCGGACTCTTACCATTCGGGACGCCTTCGGCGCCAAAGTATCGTGTACTATTCCTCTTCCGCACCCTTCAATTCGGTGCCAAGTGGTTACGACCAAGTCATTTCGGGCTACTTGTGCTTACGAGCAGCCAGACGAAATTGGCCTATGTTTCCTACGGACCGTCGTGGTAGCCGACTCTTCACCCACGGACTTGTCTTCGGACCCCCGTGTGGTGTGGTTGCTTGACGAGTTCGCCCACAACTTCGAGTCACCTACCGGTGGGGTGCCGGATCGGCCGATCTCTCACGAGATCTTTCTCGAGGCCGGTGTCGTGCCGCCGAAAGGTTGCATTTACCGCATGACCGAGGAGGAGCTTACGGTCCTCCGCGCGCAACTTGACAACTTGTTGGACAAGGGTTGGATCCGCCCTAGTAGCTCCCCATATGGAGCACCAGTTCTCTTCGTACGGAAGAAGAACAAGGATCTACGATTGTGCATCGACTTTGCGAGCACTTTTGGTGGTCCGACCTTCTCGGCGACGTCACACGCTATTGCGAGTCATGCGAGGTTTGTCGACGCTGTAAATCATGCAACCATCGTTCGTACGGCGAGTTGCGACCATTACCGGTCCCCTTGCGCCGAAGGGAAGCGATTGTCATGGACATTACCGGGTCGTTCCCCAAACACAAGTCCGGTGTGGATGAGATTCTTACGGTGGTCGACCGACTCATGAAGCTCGCCATGTCTTGCCTTGCCGCTATCATGCCAAGGCACCGGAATTGGCCGAGGTTCTTTATGCCGGTAGGATTCGAACCAAGGGTTACCCCAAGGAAATCGCCTGCGACCGCGAGACTCGGTTCATGTTCCATTTTTGGTTGGCGCTCATCAAATGATGGGGCTCATCTCTCAAGCCAAGTTCGGCTCGCCTACTTGGTCCACTTTGCGTACTGCACCCACAAATGAACGCAAGATGCAAGGCAAGCCGGTATTTTTAGCTCCATGTCACACCCGCGTCAAGGTTCCACCTTCATATCGTCAGCTTCGCCCTGGACCCGGCTTGACTTCATAAGGAGGGGGGGTTGTTACATGCTGCGCCTGCAAAATGTTGCACGGGCCATTTTCAGGCCCGTGTTGTTTTCAGCCGGAAAGCTTGAAAAAAAGGGCCTACAGGCCTCGTGTTGTTTTCAGCCTGAAAACAAGGGCCTACATGCCCTTTGTTGTTTCAGCCTAAAACAGGGCCTTTCCGACCCTTAGTCTTTTCAGCCTGAAACGGAGGGCCATTTTCAGACCCTCAGAAGATCGGCCTGCCCTGAAACTCAGGCACCAGACCAGGGTTTTAGCTCATGCCATTTTTGGCCTATTTTCAAGACAACCTTTATTTGAGCTTCAACCCCAGGGTTTGACACGTTTTGGCATTGGCAAGAGCAGCCTTCTGGACAGGCCAGCACTATATAAAACTGGCCCTCCGTGCGGGCTGTAGGTAGTTCCTAGGTACTTCCCAGGCACTTCATGTGCAGTTCAGGAGGCAGGAGGTTGTCTTCAGGATTCGGCAGCAGCACTCTGGAGGAGCGCTGCAGGAGTAGTAGTAGCGCTAGTAGTAGTCTTCAGCGTTGGGCGCTAGTAGCATTAGCAGTAGTCTTTAGCGTTGAGCGCTCTTAGGAGCTCGAGTAGTACTAGAGAGAGAGAGATCGGGCGGAGGCCAGGGATACTTACCTGCAGCGCCACAGCTCAAGTTTCGCCTTCGAGGTACCTGCAACACGGCGCCATCTTCACAGGTTAGTACTTGGCACATGAGAGAGAGAGAGTTCTTCTTCTTCCTCTTCTCAGTCCACCATCTCCCTCTCACCCTCTCGCTACCTGACTTCACTGCATCAGCAGACTATGAGAGAGCGGGCTTGGTGACATATGGATCCAGACTCGACATTGGGCTTCAAACATTTGACGAAGGATTATCTGGGACTTGTAACGAAGACTTGGTGTTGACGACATTCCCATCTCCCCCCTTCTTCTTCGTCTGCTCCCCTCCTCTTCGTCTGTGTATGGATTGGACCTGGCACATTCTTCCTATGTGTAGCGCCAGGCCCCTTCACACCTTGTGATGAGGATGTTGTATGTTTGGTTTACGTTGCGACATTGATTGGGCTAGTCATTGGTACTCTAGCATTCTGCTGCACTGTCTTGCACTGCGTGATAGAGGTCTCTCCCGGTCAGGTCAGGACTTGTAGCTAAGTCTTCGCCTGCACTATAAAGCACCATTTTTGTATGTATCAGGATGTACACTGCTTGTTGAGATGTCATTTGCACTTCATTGTCCATTCATTGCGGATCCTCGGTTATATATGTACATTGCCCAACTGGGCATGTAACATGGAGCCTCTCCCCATGGGCTAGTGGTGTCTGCTCCTATCAGCACCACTAACGCCTGCAAGGAAAATGAGCAATAGCGAGATGATAATGTCCAGAATGCACAATCACATTGAAGGCCAAATAGTATCACAGGGTCCATAAAGCAGAAATGCACCAATGTAACACCAATAAGAATTGTAACAATGAAAACCAATCTCAATGACAGCTTGCTCTCGCCACCACCAACATGAGTGTCTAGACCCTATCTCCCTACTTGGCGCTCGACGCCCAACCTACGTTCTACAAAGCTACAGTCTGCCTACTAATTGACAATACAACTGTTGACGTCAGCAGCCTACGAAGTACTTGAAGATGTTGCCCAATGCAGACCATCGCCAATACCAGGTATGTGCCCTCACATCATCATCATCATCATCCTTCTCTCTCCCCTTACTTACTCCCACGTCTTCCCTCTGTACACCCGAGGACCACCCATGCGCCTCACTGTACAACCAAGCCCTCAGCCAGCTATGGAGGCTGGGCTATGGCGCTGCCCTCAGTAGCACCCTGCTTCCACACACGACCGCACGTGCGCAACGCCTTGGTTCAGCGCTAGCAGCCAGCACGCGAGCAGAAGCTCCAACAGCGTTGGCGCCAGCCAACAAGTGCCTGAATAATGCTCCAGGCAGCGAGCTCTTTCCTATATGGATAGAGCCTGCATGCCTTTGCAGCCAGGCTGGCGTGGGCCTAGGCCCAGAAGCTTCCGGTAGGCCCCAGGATGTTGCGCCTCTGTTGCAGCTACTGGGCCTCATTCAGTTGGGCCTCCCAACTGTCTATGTATGAGCCTGCGAATCTCGTCCAGGGCCTACATCATTTTGGAAAGGCCTGGAAGGCCCTGGAATGTCTTGCTGCTCAGCTTGTGCTTCCCTCAACCAACTGGCGCGTCGAAACTGCCTGGACCCCAAATAAGGAATTGAAAATTGAGGGCCTCTTGTGATTTTGTTACGCCCGCCTTCACTTAGGACGGGCACATTCGCAACAGGGCCCCTTAGGCCTGCCGAGGACACATACCGTCGCATTCCCTCGTCCTTTTCTTCGATAGTCCTCTAAGAAGTCTTCTAATCTGCAGGCATCTTCCCCTTAAGTTCTCTTTCATAGCATGTGATAACTTGAGGTGCTGTTCTCATGAGTTCTTCTCTGGTGAACCACCGATCTTCCTTGGGATCCAGATGATGTCTGAATCTGACCCGGTATTGCATTCTCGGCTTAGGAGGGCGGCCTCTTCCCGCTGGTTTAGGCATTGGCATCACTCAATGCTCTACGATTCTGTCGATGTCGACTTCGCCATCCATGGTTGGGGGCCGCATTGACCGTTTGGAAGGAAACTGTGTTGTTTCTGCGAAAGGTGCCGGCTTGGATGCATGAAAGACTGGGTGTGTAAGTAGATAAGGTGGGACGTGAATCACATAAGAAGGTCCGTCCACCTGATCCCCCTCTATGTCTAGGACCTCCCAGGGACCGAAATACAGTGACATTAGTTTCCTAGATATTCCGTGTTCCTGTCCTAGTTCAGATGACTTTACCCAGACTTTGTCCCCTACCTGAAAGTTAGAAGGTCGTCTGTGTTTATTCTGAGATGCAATCATAGCATCTTGAGATTTCCTCATGTGTTCAACGGCCTGCTGCAACATCTGTTCGTATTTGATACAAAATTCTATGCTACCTGGTGCTGCAGTGGTCTGCTCCTCAGGTAGTACGAAATCAAGTGCGCAACGGGGCTTCTAACCAAGATGCAGTTGGTTGGGAGTCATGCCAGTAGCGTTGTGTACAACATCGTTATACAGGATGGCGACGAGAGGCAGTTTCTCGTCCCAGTCATGTTGGCTTGGCTTGATGTAGTGCCTTAGTAAATGCTGCACTACTTTGTTCATTTGTTCCGCTCGTCCATTTGACTCGGGGTGATTCCCTAATGTCATTTGCGGTCTGGTTCCCATCTGTTGGGCAGTGTTCTGCCACAGTTCACTAGTAAAGCGAACATCCCTATCACTAATTATAGACTTAGGTAAACCAAAATCCCGTACCCAGTTATCCATAAACAGTCTGATGACGTAATCAGTCTTGGTAGTTTCCGGCATAGCGATTAGTCTTGCATACTTAGAAAAGCGGTCTACTATAACAAAGATGTCCCTTTTCCCAGACCTGTTGGTCACAAGAGTATCCATGAAGTCCATGGACACACACTGACCAGGACCTTCAGGAATCGGCAAGGGCTTAATGAGCCCAAGCAGAGCCGGAGTCCTGAGTTTGTCCCATTGACAACCCTGATAGGTTTTAACATACTTCTTAGCATCTTCCATCATAGAAGGCCACCATAATTTCGGTACCAAGTTAGCCGACGGTTTCCTATAACCAAAATGACCAGTTGCATCATGACATTTTCCTAAAAATAAACGACGCAAAGATTCTCTATTAGGAACACACAGTCTCTTATTTCCTGCCTTCCCAAGAAACAATAAGCCATCTACCATCGTAAATTCGTTGGAGGTTACCTTATCCTTCGCTTGAAATCTACAAATGATCTCAGACATGATCGGATCTTGCTGCTGATAGGCTTCCATCAAGGATCGAGTTATATTGTCAGATATACCAAACACAGTCACTGGTGCGCCCAGATAATCTGCCCTTCTCGATAGTGTATCAACCACTTTGTTGTACTCTCTATTGATTGGATCAAGTTGATAGTTATGCATGTCTATCACTTGAATCCACCACTTAAGTGCGTCAGAGAGTACAGGCTGTGTTTTGATCCAGCACAAGGTCTCATGGTCAGATCTCAAGTAGAAGAATCTGCTTAGGAGGTAGTGTCTCCAACGGACCAACGATCTGTAGAGGGTATAGAGCTCACGCTCTATGTATCACCCGGGGTCGTGACCGGGGCCCATTTGACCGCACGCGGTCGGCATCCCGACCTCAGCGGACGGCGCCCACGACCAAGTGCAGTCGGAAAACCCCGGCATTTTAAATTCTGGGATAATAGGCCAAAAAATAAAATAAAATTATGGGGTTGTAGGTTTTTATGCGCTCTACAACCGTATATTTTTAGTTTTATTTTTTAACTTCTTTTTCGATTTTATAAAAATGAAAAACCGAAATCCCTCATGCAAAAGTTCTTCACTTTATTCTTTTAGTAAGAAAAATAAAGGATTTTGTTTGATTTGTATCACAAATTGGGTAACGAATTTTGATATGACCCCAAGGCAAAAGTTGTTCAACTTATTTTTGGGCATAACATGTATTTTTTCAGATTTTTCAGATTTTTTTTTTTTTTTTTTTTTTTTTTTTTTTTCATGACCGCGGTCCGTTCTCGTGCCCGCGGCGACCGCGACCGCGGGGGATTCATAGCTCACACTCATACGTGGACTTTGATAGTTTTTTAGACAGCATCTTCTTACTCATATACTCGATGGGTCTCAACTTTGGCCCCTCCTTTTGCGCAAGGACCTCGCCTATGCCATATTGGCTGGCGTCTGTGGTCACAACAAATGGCTTATCAGCATCCAGATGTTTGAGGACCTCGTAGTGTGTCAGAGCACACTTCAATTTCTTGAAGTTTGCCTCACACTCTTCAGTCC